AGTTAAGACAAAGGGAAGATAGGGAAATACAAGAGATGCAAAGGAGAGGAGAGAGGAATTGGAAGTTTGGGGATTCCAACTCGGACAACATCTGAGACTAACACTCTACTCCTAAAACTCTAACACTTAGAATTTACTGACTTTCTAACCAACACCTCCATGCAGAGAGACATCCAAATAAGTTCCTGAGACTACCAATCGGATGAAATATCTACTCAACTGGTAATTATACTGGTTTCATTTAATTAATTAAATTAATTAAAATGTATTAATAGCATTATATATGACTGGATAAAGCACGGTCAGATTTCCATATTAAGAAATCTTAGTTAACTAAAGAATATATAGTTATAAACATTCCATTCTGCAGGTGGAATTAAGAATAATTATATATTAATGTGATATTATCACGTGTTAGCATACCGTTGTTTTTATCCAGGTGTATTGATTTGCTCTAAATTAAGATAGATATCTTTTAGACAAATTAAAAATCTGCTTATATAATATGGTAGATTCTCTTATTGGATGGTTTCAGGAAATGACTAATGAACTGGTTTAAATGTTATTTTATTTAAAAATTACATAAGAATAGATCTTAACTACCTAGGAGATCTAGCCAGCATTGAAAGGGTTATTCTAACTGTCTGCTAAACTTTACGACCTTACGCTGCACTCTGAGGAATTCTGTTCTTCGCTGTGAAAAGTTTCACTTTCAGTCTGTGTTAAAGATAGTCATAAATAAAGACTTGACAGAAAATGCTGTTCAGAGTTAATAGCCATTGAAACGTAATACCCATTCCTTTGTATTGCATATCATTTTATACTGAATATTCATTGATTATTGTCATGCATGTTACATATTATTATTAATTAATTTGTCATTATAAATAAAAATCTATTTTTATACATTGTGATATTATTATATGAAATACATTCCACTTAACACCATAAACGTTCTTTGGGATCTGAGAATTGAATTAGTGGGCAATTCTCAACTGTTTACTATTATTATCCCATAAATATCCCCACACCAAACTATAGGGCCTGACTACTTATCGGTTAGGAATTTGATCCATGGCTCCCAAACGGTCTGAAAGAGTGATTGTTTGTGAGCATCTACCTTGGAAATCTAAGTGTATCTACCTTGGCAATCCATTCCCTGATCGAAGGGGTGTTAGAGTTTTTCCATTTAGAAGGGATGAGTAGATTGGCTGCCGTTATGAGGTGGGTGAGGAGGATACGTTGTGGTTTGGGTAGGATCATGAACAGTAGTGTTTGTGGCATAGTCGGGACTAGGATTCCCGTTATTGTTTTGAGTCGTTTTACTATATTGTTCCAGTATGTTATCGGGCATAGCCACCAGGTATGGGCTAGTGAAGCTCCCGGTTGGGAGCATTTCCAGCATATTTCTCATGTGTTGGGGAAGAGGCTATGAATTTTGGCCGGTGATTAGTGCCATCTAGCAACCCTCTTATAGTTTCCCTCCTGGATGGTCGTACATACTGAGGTGGTGTGTGTTTGACGGAAGATAGTTTTCCAGTGGGGTGCTGTGATTTGGGCAGCAAGGTCCTTGGACTATGAGAGTAAAATTAAATTTTATGTCAAGACACGGAGGCTCATATTGCTAAACCCTTTCTTTACTGTCCACCAATAGCAGGAAAGAACACAAATAGAAAAAATATATAACAAATACAGTGAGATACCGGCCAATCCCCATCCAAGTCCCAGTATAACAGCAAGCACCGCCTCTCAAGCTTCCTCTTTCTTTGTTGCTCCACAGTCAAGATAAGTACAAATATTTTTACGCTTAGCAGTATCTGCTTTTCATTGCCTTTATCTACTTTGGTTACTTCTTATTTGCTTATAATCGTGTTATTCTACTTTATTAATACTGTTTTAAATGGTTTTTGATTAATTTTATTTACCTTTGAGCCCAGGGTTCCAGACCTTCCTTTGGGGGATTCTTACATGTGATTCTCCCCTCTCTTCTGAGCTTTGCCTTGTTGCTCCTCTCCTTTGGGGGTCCCTCAGGGGTTTTACCACCCCTTATCTCCTTTATTTTCTCTATATTCCCTTATTTTTATGTTCTGGGTCTCCCCGCCTTCTTCCTGGCTGTTTGCAACCCTTTTGCGCCCGTTTTCACACCACTGTTCGGTTATTTTGCAACAGAGTTGGGCCTTCGGCTAAACTTGCTGTGAATTTGTGCAGTTCATGAGTTTTGCCGCGAATTGTACCATTTGACAATTTGGCCGCGAACGTTTCTCGTTCGACTGTTTTGCCACGAATGGTTTTTATTTGGTAGTTTTTGCCGCAAACTGGCCGTCCATTAGTTTGGTCCCACAAATTCGTCCTGTTTGTCGCAAGACTGGCGGCGGTCATTTTCTGATCTTACTCATCCTTCTGGCTCTGTCTTTGCCTCATGTCTACCCTGTCTGCTGGTCTGGGCCCTGGTGAGCTCCCCAATCTCTCCCTCTCTGGTGTAGCTAGTTTGGGTGATTAACCCCTACTAGCCGGTATTATTATTATTTTGTCTACAGCTCTATTTTGTTATTGTACTGTTTTTTTGTGGGTCTCACATTGCAATATGCCCAAGCCTGAGGTGCCTGCCTGCCCCCCTTCCCCTGGTGAGATGGATATACCTCAAGACCTGGGGAACCCCTCTTCAGTTTCAAGCTCCCGTCCATCAGTAGCTGGCCCTATTGCTTATCCTGATGAGGCTCAGTCCCTGGCGCTGCAACGTTCAGTCACTGACGCCATTATTATCAATGCTCTGGAGCTCCTGACCAGTTCCTTTCTGATTCAGAGTTTCGTGAACAGAATAGGCAGTATAACTCCTGGGGCTCCACGACATTCATGCGGACTGGAGTTCACGCTATCTTTCGGACAGCAACGACTGGTGATAGGGTATGGGGGTGTTCTCAGCTTTCTCTTCTCTCTGGGGTCCTTTTGCCATCGACCTATTTGCATCCCATCTCAACACCCGTGCCCGGACCCGGCTGCGGAATCAGTGGACGCTTTCCTGCAAGACTGGACCGGCTCTCTCCACTAAGCCTTCCCTCCATTTGTCATGATCCCTCAAGTCCTACTCCACGTTCGCCGCCAACAGGCCAGATTGATCCTGCTGGCCCCTGTTTTGGGGGACTCAATCCTGGTTCCCACAGATGCTGGAGCTGGCAATGGATTTACCCAGGCTGTTGCCTTCTTACCCGGATCTTCTTCTGGATCCAACAGGCCTATGCCATCCGCTTCTGCTTGACGGATCCCTCCTGCTGCTTGCATGACGCATTTCCGGGGTCCCTGAGTTTTCCAGGGGGTTTCGGATGCAACTAGACACCTCCTGGTGGATGCATGGGCTCCCGGTTCTAGACGGTCATATGGGACCGCTTGGCGAGATTGGGCTGGCTGGTGCCTGGCTAGGAAAATGAATCCTGTTTCATCACCCGTGAATGCAATCCTTCAATTCCTTACTTCTTTATTTGAGGCTGGCCATTTGTATTGCACGATTATTTTGTACAGGTCAGCCATTTCTTCGGTTTATCAGGGTTTTGACGGTTTTCCCGCGGGTTGCTTCAGGTGGCTCCTGACTGTCCAGCCCTCCTAGGCCTCGTTACTCTTCCACTTGGAATGTCTCCTGCATGTTGTCTCTCTTCAGTTCCTGGCCTCCTAACTCGGACCTATTCTTATGACAATTGTTAGCCAAGATGGTCTCCCTCTTTTGCCTCATTTCGTGCAAGCGGGTTTCGGGTGATCGTGCCCTGGTCTACGATGCGCGGTCCTTCACTCCGGATGGAGTGACCTGTAACATCTCCAAACGTACTAAGACGGCTATTCGGTCGGTATCATATACGTTTTTTCCAGCTTCTCCGAGATTGTGTCTTGTTGCTTGTTTGCGCGAGTAAGAGCTTTGGACTAGTGCGCATCTTTCTGTATCGTCTCCGCAACTATTTCTCTCGATTTGACAACCATTTTCTCCTATTTCCAGTACTACCTTGGCTTGCTGCGTCAAGTGGGTGATGTCACAGGTTAGTGTGGATACGTCCATTTTTGGCACCCACTCTTCCCGACGGCATCAGCCACATATATGGTGGCTTCAGGTGCGTGTCTGGAAGACTTGATGAGGATGGTGGACTGGTCGCGTGAATCCACGTTTCGAAAATTTTATTTTTGACCTGTCCCTCATGTTTTTTCGTCGGTTGTTGGTCAGCTTTAAACTTGCAACATGAGCCTCCATGTCTTGACATAAAATTACATGATTTTGCTATTTCATGACAAAAAGTCATGATTTTATGAAAGACACTGAGGCAAGTATTAGCCCACCCTTCTAAGTTTGTTTAACTTGTTTCTCCCTCCCTGCTGATTTTTTCTCTCATATAGGGATTCCTGGGTGGGCTTAATTCGGTGTTGCTTGATGGTCCTCACTTCTTCCCACTGTAATTATCCAATCCACTGTGATTATTGTAGTATGCTAACCTGGTTCCAACTGTGCCATAGAAAGATACCATGGGAATACATAAAGGCAAATTAAATGAAAAAGTAGCCTGTGAATAATCCTCCAATATGTGTAATATATGGTAAGTGGATTGGTATTGTATTAGTTATATAATAATGTACATACTATATGTGTGGGTGATACACTGCATACTTTCACATCTTTTTTCAAATTTTATGTTGACATTTGTCTTATATGGCCTTATATAGTGTACTGAAGTGTTACATTTTTTATATTAGTATTAGCATTTTTATAGACAGCGTATTTCACAGGACATTACAACTACAGAACGGGGATATATGAAAACACGCAATTGACAAAATAAAATTGGTAGAGGCAAGAGGTGAAGAAGGCCCTACTCAAATAGCTTACGATCCATGACAAAGGGGTAATGGAACACAAAACATTACTGGAAAAGTTTAAGTGTTATCAGTTTAATACATTTTAGGTAGGTACAAGTTATAGTATTACTTATAAGTATTACTAGTAAGTCTACAGTACTACCAAATTTAAAAATATTTCACTTTTAATTTCACAAATATTTAGAAACCAAGACTCAAAAATATACCCACAATAATGTATTTTATTACAGAAATCAAATACTTTATTTTATAACAATTTAATTATTTTGAAGAAGGTGTTCTACAATATTATGGCTGTTGATCTTCCTCGCCAAATATCCCCTCAACAATATCTCGATAAATTTCAATCTGTCGGGAATCCAGTCTTACATCAATCTCCAAAGGAGCCATCATCTGGAGAAAGATTTCAAACAGTAATTCAGTGCATTTAAAAAAAATAAATAAAAAATAAACAAATCCTCACTCCAGTGAGCTATTTGGAAAAACAAACATGACAAATTAAGCTATTTGAAGATTCCATTTTGGGGTCTACACATTTTGGGGTCTACACATGTGCATTTCCCCATCACAAAAAAAGAAGAGCTGACAAAAAAAAGAAAAGAAAAACAAAGAAAACAAAAACAGTAGTAAGTAGAAGGAACAAGATAAATTATGAATGGTTAAAAGTACACTGGAGCCTCCTGAAGCATTCCAGCTTTCTGATGTATTTTGGAGTCAACGGCATATTCTCTCTGCCTTATTTTATGAAAAAATTAATAAAATAATAAACTCGCTTTCTGAAGCCTCATTCAAAGCACAGATAAAGCATATGCTCAGGAAGAAAAAAAATAAAAAGTGCTGACAAAAAAACAAAAACAAAAAGTCTCAGACCATTCTTTTATAGAACAAATTAGAAGGTGTTGTCTGTTTGGTGGAAGAGTGTTGAAGGAGTGATGACTTAAAGGTAGGCAGGCAATGTAATAGAACAGCAGGAAATGCTAGCAAAATGTTTGGTTGTATAGGGAGAGGTATTAGCAGTGGAAAGAGGGTAGTGCCCATGCCATTGTACAGAACACTGGTAAGACCTCACTTGGAGTATTGTACACAGTACTGGAGGCCATATCTTCAGAAGGATATTGATACTTTGGAGAGAGTTCAGAGAAGGGCTACTAAACTGATTAATGGATTGCAGAATAAAACTTACCAGGAAAGGTTACAGGATCTTAACATTTAAAGCTTGGAGGAAAGACGAGACAGAGAGGATATGATAGAAACATTTAAATACATAAAGGGAATCAACACAGTAAAGGAGGAGACTATATTTAAAAGAAGAAAACTACCACAACAAGAGGACATAGTCTTAAATAGAGGGGCAAAGGTTTAAAAATAATTTCAGGAAGTATTACTTTACAGAGAGGGTAGTGGAGGAATGGAATAGCCTTCCAGCTGAAGTGGTAAAGTTAACACAGTGAGGGAGTTTAAGCATGTATGGGATAGGCATAAGGCTATCCTAGACTTAACAAAAGGCCAGGGACTAATGAAAGTATTTAGAAAATTGGGCAGACTAGATGGGCCAAACGGTTCTTATCTGCCATCACATTCAATGTTTCTTTGTTTCTATATGAGTGAAGCAGCCAGCAGAATGTGCTATCCTACTATTTGCTATCTCAGCTCTGTGTGGGTTTGTGCTTGGATTGGTTTCACACAAGCTAAATGCTCTCCAGGTATGGACTGGAATGTTCATATGAGTATCTTTAGATGAGCAGACTGCCATACAATAATAAGTAGCTTTGGCAAGTGCCCTAATGAGGGCAAATTTGTCCTCATAGGCCACTCTTTTAGTTCCCTATGTGAGAATGGAAACTGCAGAAATAATCATGTCAAACATATGTTTTGTTCTAATACATACTTTTCAGTAGTCCTTACAATGCTCATAAATAAGAGTTTAAAAATAAAATTCAGGAAAAATGGGGATGGTTATATTTTCCGCAGTACCTTGGCCTTGTTCCCTGTTAATGGGGCATACCATTTATTAATTGTTTGCCCTCTTCCCTGGGTCCCACCAGGCTCACAGGCTGCTTCCATGTCTGGTGACGAACTTCTGGCTTCTGCAGTGCGATCCAGTTACCATTCATTAGCTAAGAGCATCAACTGCCCTTACTGAGCCAATAAATGACACACCATGCAAAAATATTTGCACATAATTGATGTTAGTCTGACTAACAACTCCCCCATGTAGCGGATGGATATTAAGTTGCACTTCTTGCAGCCAAAGGGTTAAACTAGGTATATGCATACAGATTACAGGCACCATGACTACTTTAAATAACTTCAACATTTACATTTATTGTTTCACATGTCACTGTGTATAAGTTTCAATTTTTTTTTAGCTGATTATTGGAAGTGGACTTTGCTTTAATGTGGCATACATTTGACGAACTCTAATGAATGTCATATGGGAAAACATAATGTTTTCTGTAACATTCCACCAGCATACCTCCCAACATCGGTAATTACAGAATTGGGACGCTAGTTCAAGAAGGGAAAAGGGGGAAGGCCAGTGATGTAAAAATGAAGTAGGCCTGCACAGAATATGCAGACCAACCAGGAAAAGGTGCACATTCACACACATTACTGGTCATTCCACCTGCTGTGAAGACACACCAGGCTCGCTGCCAATCATTTTAGCTGGCCCACTGAGGGCAGACCCTACAGGGAGCACTATTTCATTGCTCCCTGCAGGGTCCTAGTGCTCATGTTATAATTGTTGGGAACTGTTCCCTGGTGTCCCAAAAAATAAAACACTACAGAAGTAAGTTGGTACAGCGGGTCAGGACCCGGGAAACGACACTGTCCCACACAAATTGGACTATTGGACTATTGGGAGCTTTGTTTTTAGCTGTGTTAAGGCATTTCATCACTGTATACATTTCCTAAAAATATATAGTTTACTGTTTGAAGTTGAATAATCATGCAGTCTCTATAATGAAACCCCCATGTCTTTCTGTGTGTTTATCTTCAGTGTAAATTTATTGAATTTATATGGGCTGACAATGTGTAATAAGGCTTATAATGGCTTTTAAAAATCACTAAAAGGACAGAGAGTACAAAAAATAGAGTTCATCCTTTGCTAGTGAATCAAAAGCGCCTCTAAAAATACAATAATGTATGTAGATATATGGAAAGGAAGATTGCACGTAAAAGATTAAAAAACCTCAAATAATATCATGCTAATGTCACAGTAAAGTAAACCTATGCAAAAATATATACACTGTCTCCCAATTTGGCTTTATTTTAGTATCCATGCCACAAGAAACATTGTTATCATGTAAAATAATACAAAGGTGGGGAAAAAATCAGAATATAGATACTTAGGGGTAATAATTTAACCGCTGCTAAATACAATACGACACTATATCTTTAAGGAGATTTTATGGGCTAGAACCTAGGTTTGCTCATTTATTTTATTTAGCAGCTGTTATAGTACTCCTCCTATGTATCTATATAAAGCTTTTTTCCACCTTTGTACTGGATGGCAATGGCATGGTGACAATGTTTCTTGTGGCATGGATACTGAAATAAAGCCAAATTGGGAAACATTGTATATATATCCTTACATAGATTTACTTTACTTTGGCATTAGCAATATACTATCTGAGGCTTTTTAATCTTTTTATGTACAATCTTCCTTTCTCCTTTATTATTAAGAGTTAATTCTTGGTCTATTTTTTTTAATCTCTTACATCTATGTATCCATATTTCTACATACATTGCTTTTCTAGAGGAGCTTTTGATTCACCTGCAGAGGAAGTACTCCATTTTCTGAACTCTCCCTCCTTTTAGCGATTTCTATTTACAAGGATTTAAGCCAAGGATACATTTTAGTGGTATCCACTTGACATCAAGGTGCTTAGGCATTGCTTTGGCATATATGCTTTGGCACATATTCATTTGTTATAATGTCTTTTAAAACTGTATTTACTATAATAACAAAGAACATTTAATACTTACTGTATTTAAGTCTATATGTTCTGTCCCATTTTGCTTGGCTACTATCAGTGCTGTATTTGAAAAACCAATCTCGAGAGCAGAATTTGTAGCTTAACCCCTTAAGGACACAACTTCAGGAATAAAAGGGAATCATGACAGAATATTTCTGTCATGTGTCTTTAAGGTGTTAACATTCCTTAAGCTTATAGTTTCCATTTTTAAACTTTGTGTTCAGACTAACAGTCACTAGAGGCGTTTTCTCCTTCAAAGGTCTTAACATTCAGTGCCATCACACCGCATGATGACCCTGAACACTCGTAATACTTAATACATTGAGAAACACTGGATTTAATGCATTTGTATGAGAAGCATTGGATTGGAGGAATGCAGCAATTGCTGCACATGCACCCTATGTTCTCAATATTCTTTGATTGTACGAAGTCATAATAACTGATGACTTCACAGAAGCACGGAGACTGAAATAAATGTGAGTTTTAAATATCAGGCATTTAAAGTACAGATTTAAAAGTTATAAGACAGATGTCAGATCACAATAACACAGCAAACAGCAACAGCGTTAGAAAATCATAAAGAGAAATGTAAAGAGAGAAACATTGTAATTCCTACAACAATAGAGCTCAAACTACTGTCCAGTGTGTCCGACATATTCATTAAATTTGATAAAACATATTGCTACTCCAATATTCCCTTCTTAATACTCCTTACATACTGACGTTTTACTATATAACTTTCATCTTAGAAGCCACACTGGCACTAGTTTGGTGCTGTTTTTTTGCTATGCATTCATTGTAAAGAAATGCAAATATCACAATTCCTTTGTTTTTGCTACACTGTTTATATCGGTAAAATAAAATGGATTTATTTTAGTGATGCATTATTGATAATAGAGGGGCAAGATCAATTTAGACTGTGAAATTACACAATATAGTAAAAGAAAAGGTATAACCTCTCACTTTGGCATATTGAATCTGGCTTAGGTGGTTGTGTGGGTGGTGGCAGTGTTGCAATGGGCACACTAAATGCAAAAGATCAAGTAACATTTGCTGTAGACTATAGTGTCTGTTTTTCCAAGCTGTTTTATGAAAATTGACTTTTGAAATCTGGGGTAAAAGTAATCAAGCTGAGAAAAAAAAAATCAATTACAGCATATTTTTTGTAAATCGGTTCACAATTCACCACAAACCTTCTTCTGTTTAGTGAAAAGACTTCAGAGTCATCTGGCCAAAATACATTACAGTAGAATTCACCAAACATGACTGAGTAGAAATTCATTAAATGGGGAACAGAAATTACATAACTGGTTTAAAAATTATGGCAAGTTATTCCTATATTGATAAACATGGAAAAGGGAGTGAATTGCTCAAACTTTTTAAGTAAGTATAGCTGCTGTCCCAGCCTATCTCTTGTTCATGCAGTGCAGGAAGAACCAAAATGACAAAGAATACTGTATAACACTCACCTTTATCACTTCCTTGTTCTCTACATCACCTTCTTCCATAGAATTACTTCCACCTCTGACATCCCCTTCCTCAGACCTCTGCACAAGCTTCTTACATGCTCTGTTCTTGCTGCGTTGCTGCCACAGAATAATGATTAAAGTTAAACAATGTAAATAATTAGCATAATAAATAAAGTTTAATAATTCCATACAATTCCATTCCATTTGAGTTCCCAGATTTAGGAATTGAATCGGGTAACACTTACGCGGGAGGTTAGACCATAACATCTCTTTACTATCTCCTCCCAAATACCCCGCCCCCTCTCTTCTTTCCTTCTTACCTTTTCTTTCTTTTTAGCCTTTTTCTTATTGATTTTTGATATGTTGCATTCAAAGTTTAATGCTTTAATTAGTTACACTGTGTGGCACTGTATATTTTTGATGCATTCAAATATTTTTTTCCTTGAATGAACACTATTGTCACTAAAAAAACTTTAGCAAAATAAAGCAGTTTGTGTATAGATCATGCTCCTGAAGTCTCGCTGATTAGTTCACTGCCATTTAGGAATGAAATCACGTTTGTTTTTGTTTATGCAGACTTTGCCACACCTCCCCTAGCTGTGACTGACACAACATTTAAGAAAAAAAAAATTGGTTTCAATTTTAATCAGATGTAACTTACTATAAAAATGTGTATCACCTGCTCTGTAAATTGAATTTTAATTACATACAGGAGGCTCCAGCAGGGTAGATGAATTCTAAATTAAAAATGATTTGCAATAAAGAAGGTATTAACATTAAATGACTCTTTACAGGAAGTGTTTAGGAAAGTTGTGTAAGTAAAATGCAGGGAGGTATGACTAGGGCTGCATAAACAGTGATTTAACTCCTAAATGGCAGGGAACTGAGCAGTGAGACTTCAGAGGCATGATCGATACAACAAAAATGCTTCATCAAACTAAGGCTATTTTGGTGACTAAAGTGTCCCTTTAAAGAACACCTTCAAGTCATGAACAAATTGAGCACAGCTTGGAGGGACAGCAGGACTACTATAATCGAATCCATAACAGACTGCTTTTGAGACCTAAGTACTGATATATCTTGGTAGAGATGTATGGAGGTCACTAAGGAGAGTGGTCAGGAATTGCCTGAGGAAGAAGGGAAATATGGAGAGTATTTGGGGAGAAAGCAAAAAGCATGTGGTGGTTTTCCACTACTTTTTGGCCAACCTGCACAGCATGTCCCCTCTCAAGTTCATCTTGTACCTTTTGACAAGCACCTTCCCTTGATTTAATCTATTCAGAGCATGCTACAATCAGACATTCAATCCTGGCAGATTATAACATTCTAAATAGCATTTTCTTACTGATTTCCCCATTGATCAACTTAGCAAATCTATATTTCCTTATATTTAACTAAATATTGACATGGTAGTAAATAAAGCATGACAATAGTTTTTAGATACTACAGCAAAGAACAGAAGATATTGCGGCTATAATTAGAATCACCTGCATATTGCAAACATCACTGTGTGAGTAAAAATGTGCAAAACTCCCCTGTGTCTTCTCTGCGAGCATGCAGATCCCATAGATAACCAGGAAAAGGGAAATAACTGTACGGGAATCCATTATTATAGTTGGTTAATCAGGCAATGCTGTAGAAAAAGGTAGAACAATGTAAAAGGTGAAATAGCATTATAATGAGTTTTCTGAATTATAGCAGATGCATCATGAGGTGTAAAGGACGTTTATAGAGCTGTTATGTGAATAATTAGATGATGACGTTTTATTGGTTTCCTAGTTTTTTAGGATACACTTTGTAGCTATTCTTATGATATATTTGGCACTGTGATGATATATAAAATGGCAACTGTGATTGCATATTTAAAAAAAAAATGGGTTAGGATGAGAAAGAAAATTTCTCATGTGTGACCAGTTATTTTGTGCCAAAGTAATTCACATGCCTTAAAGACCAGTGCTGTTATGTAATGATTATTTTTTCTCTGCCATGAAAGGTCAAAAACCAGTAACTTCGACTGCAAGTACCCAAATTGAAAACTGTGTCTTAGTCAATGAGGATCAGGAAAAAAAAACAGATTTGAAAACTATTTATTTCTTCAGTATACAGCAAACAGCGACTACTGGATATTGATTAACAAATCAATCTAACAAGAAACCTATAGGAAATACATGATTGGCTGACACAGCTATTAAATAATGTTAGGAAAAATAACACAGGGCCAAATGGCATTCACCTTTAGATACTAAGGGCACCTAGTTTAGTAAAAATCTGTTTTTAATCTTCCAGGATTCTTTATGTTTGGGAATTATACCAAAGCATTGACATAAATCAGAAATGATGCAGTATTTAAAAAAACCCAGATCAAAATATAGTTTAAAAAGGCAGATCTATGGGCTTAACATAAGTAGTGGTTTAATTATTCAATTGTCATATTTGGTCACATTTGACCATCAATATCAAAAGTTTGAATCATCATTTTTTTAATGAAAGAAAGATGACGCTCAACTAACTTAATGGTGTTCTATAAGGAAGTCAACATTTGTGACTTAAGTTACCTCAATATATAGTTATATATTTCTTAAAAAAATAAATTAAAACTCTCAGCATAGTTAACACTAACAGCTCTCTGTTTGAACTGTTTGTTAAAAGGGATGTGCAAATTACAATGAAACTTAAAGAAAGGCCAGGTTCTATTGTGGAAAATGTTCTTTACAATATGAACTATAAAAGTAATGTGGAATTCTTTCTATTAAAGCTATCAAGTTCAGTAAACTTCTTTAGTAAAGGATGATTTTCAGGGCTATCATAATTAATAGGATGATAACAGTTTATTGATCAAAGGAATATTGATATAGCCATCTTGGAGCCAAGTGGGAATTGCTTGATTGGGTTTTTCATCTGTTGTTGAATAAACAATAAATACAAGTATGCATGTGAAAGTTTGATCTGTACAGTAATATTGTCCAGGTAGGCACTATATATTTTCAAACATAATATTAGTATTATGACTGGTACATATAAACTTTAATAGGTGTTGATTACCACACGGCGTGTCACCCTGGGCTTCAGTCTATTAGTGCTGATCCTGGATCGGCGTGAGTCTGATTATGCTGAGAGCAAGTCAGAAAATCAGGAAAGTTACTAAATTGTAATGCAAGGGATAAGATGTGTATTATTAGACCTTGCGTGGCTCAAAACCTTAGGTTATCTGAATTATCTTACCTATGATTATTTATCAATTTATTTATCTTTTTTTTTATGGGTATCTTTTAAATTGATTTACACAAATGTTAAGTTTACTTAATCAGTGTTTTGGATCTAGATCCAGAGAAATAAATCTTTGGCATTCCACTTTTTGTGGACTACATTTCCCATAATGCATACCAGCACTGCCAAAGATTGCCTTCCCATAATCTAGAGTATTTTTTCAACCTTTATTACTTATTATTAGTATGGGGAAATGCATAAGGAAATGCATAAGGAAAATGCTTTATGATCATTTGTATTTCTAGATACATAGTTAAACATTAAGTACACATACCTGTGCATATAGGGCAGTGATGGCGAACCTATGGCACGAGTGCCACAGGTGGCACGCCGGGCCCTTTCTGTGGGCACGCGGCCATAGGTTCGCCATCAATGCAGAGTAGGCACCTGCCTGCCCAAAATGGCAGGCACCTACTCTGCTTCCGTGTCGGGAGGCAGGGGGAGGGATCTGTGAAGCAGCTCCCTTGTCCTCCCGCGAGCAAGCTGTGTGGAGCGTTGCCGTGCGTTACCATGTCAACGCTCCACACAGCATCGCACGGGAGGACAGGGGAGTGGCTTCACAGATCCCTCCCCCTGCCTCCGAGTAGGAAGCAGTGCTTTCCACCACCGGACCACCAGGGATGGCTGTGTGTCCCCCCCCCCTCCTTCATTAAAGGTAAGAAGGAGGGAGGGGGTTATTGATTTAGCATACTTTTTTTTTAAAATACCTTTACCCCAGCCCCCCACACACAGTACCCCTACCCCCCACACACAGAGTACCTCTACCCCCCCCACACAGCACACCTCCCCTCCCCAGCATCCCTCACCACCCCACACCCAGCTTCCC